GGTCAAATAACTTATATGACCCTGCTTGTCATTTACTGAGAGAGAGAAGGAGAAAACCCTGAACGAATAAACTCAATCTGCTGCATTCAGCTTCAAGGTGATCGCTGGAGTGGGTGAAACGGAGGAGAAGTGGATGAAATGAAATTGTAGAATAACAAGTGTCACTTTAGTGTTGCAGGTCAGGTCAAGTAGTTAATGTCCACATATTTTGCAGGTCGGCTGCTGTGGATTGTCTCATGTTCGCTCTGAGCTGAGTGAAGTGTGTCTTTGTCCGGGTTTTTTAACCTTCAAGTTAAGGCAGTGCATTGCACACCTGAAAATTAAGCACTTGAAGAAATGTAGGTTTTAAAACAGGATGTAAACCTCCTGCAGTAAGCATGTAGGAACTGACCCATGTGACCTATTGTGTTATCTTCAGAGGTATTTAACGCACTGTGAAACTATTTGCAATCGGCCTCCTGATCTCCGTAATCTGTTTTTGTCTTGTTTTGGATCTCTTTCCATCCAGTGGCCTCAGCTACCAGCTAAGACTGAACAACTTTATGAAAGTCTGAAATGAGAAAACAAATTTAGGCATTAAAGTCGTCTCAGAATACTGTGGATGGATTGAGTTGTTCACCTGCTGCTGACAGGTCCTCTGTCTTTCCTTCTTGTGCAGGTTTTCTGACGTGCTACACGCACTTGGACGTTCAGCAGCCTTTTTAGGAAAAGATTCCAGTCACAAGCAGTGTAACTCAGACAAAGAGGTAAGAAGTAAGGTGATGTCTCTTGTGTCTGTAATGAAACACTCGACTGAACCCCCCCCAAAGCTTTTTAGACGTTACTGACTCCTCCTCCAATACATGTGAAAGTATTGGTTCATTTTTTCTTCTTTCATTTTTACACTCACTTTCCTCTCATAAACTCTTCCTGCTTTGTTTCTGCCCAATTACACCTAACTCATTATGCACCGCCCCCCCCTCCAGGTGCTTAAATCTTTCCGAAATCTGAAAACGCAGCCGTTCTTCTCCGTCCTTCAGTTTTCCACCTTGTCAAACCATCTGAAGAGTTACTTCCCTCGTCAGGAGCGGCACCATCAGATGGTGAGGCTTTTCGCCAGCGCTTTGATTCATTCTGAAGACATTCGCTTGCGTGTATTTACTCTGTCTATTTATTCCCTGCAGACTTGCTCGAGACTTCAGGACATGTGTGTAGTGTTTGCTGGGCCGTTCCCCACAGGCTTCTCTGACGGAGACGTGAAGCAGCTGTTTAGTTTCTGCGGAGCCGTTCGAAAAGTCAAGATGTTGAACACAGTGGTCAGGGTGTGCATCGCTTTCATAGTTTCACCGATTTGCTATAAAACCAGAGCTGCGAAATTCTTCACCGTTGCTTGAATGCTTAAGTGTTTGATCTCCCAGGTACACGCAGAGATTGAGTTTGAGTTGCTGGAGGGAGCGATGCTGGCGGTAAAAACTCTGAATGGCCTTAATGTGCTCGGGCAGACTATAAAGGTAGCTCTCTTCCTTTTTCTTTTTTTTCCATTTGCTTCTGTTATTTATTCTCTTTGTGCTGCAGTTAGGCCCACATTTATGCAGATTATCTCCAACTACTTGTTATTTTCTAGGTACAGAGGCCGGTGTGTGAGTCAATGCTAGATCTGGATGTGACTCTTAAAGCACTGATGGGTGACGCTCTGAATGCTCGTCACCTCTACGCTGTTAAAATGAACCACAGTATGACTGAGTGCATCAGCACTTCCACAAAAGTTAATGGGCATGTGTCAGATGCTGAATGCTTAGATGTCACTCCTGTGAAAACAGTAAACGGGCTACTTCCTGCTAAAATAAACAAATGGTTGCATCTCAGTACCTCTAAATCTGAACTGTGTGAGGAGTCAGTCAGAGAGACATTTGGCCACTTTGGCACAGTGAAGAGAGTCATCCTATCTGCCAAGCCTAAAGAATCCACAGGACGTGCACGCATAGGTAAGGTGAAAACTACATTTATCACGCGTTGCACGTGCTGTGTGGGACGTTTGTGTACACTTCAGAGTCTAACGTGTCCGGCTGTCAGTGTTTGTGAATTCAGAGGACAGACGCGCAGCGCTCAACTCTTCTGAGGATCTGTGGAAGAAGAACTACCTCATCTGTCCATCGCTGACGCCGGTCCATTTGCCTTCATGGGTTGGAGCGGAGATTAAGGCGACAACCCACAGGCACAGCAGCGCTCAGGTAACGAGTAGATTGTTGTGATTCCAGTAGGTT